CTATTTTGGTAAATAAAACCAAATTTCGACGTCGTCTTATTCTCCACTTATGTCGAATCCACGTCGAACCAACGTAAATTTTACTTAATTATGGTTAAATCTAATTTTGCGACCAAATTTATTATATATAATATAGGTAGTATCGACGTCAAATTACACCAAAATGTTTGCTGGGTGTCCCAACAACGGGAACCGGAAAGTGCATCAGTACTTAGAACTTATAACACATTAATTAGCGTGCGTTTTTTAAGATACTTTTGTTCATATTAATAATACAATTATACCTTGGAATAATTAATTTTAAAGGAACCATTACAAAATTTAGTATAGAGTGAAGAGGTGAGTTTAAAATATAGATAAATTAATCATGTACAATTAAAAAATAAATAAAAATTGGAAATATCTTGCTTTTAAGTTTTACTATTTGACTTTTATTAAGAACGTGGATAAAATCCTGGCTTTTAAAAAATCCCCACCGATCAAATGCCTTTTATTTTTAATTAAGAAACATAAAAAAATTAAAGCAACCAATTTTTTATTGATATTCGGATAACATTTTGGTCTATTTTTTGTTAGATAATTGTTAAGAAAATTACACGTTAAAGGTTATAAAAAATTAATTAGTTTTATTTCGCGTTTTTTAAATAGTACAATTATTGTAGCATTCAACATTCAATATCAAATTAATTATCTTGATCCAAAACGACACGTAAGGCGATATCTTTTTTTTTCTTGTATGGTTGGTGCAGCAAGACCCGCAGCTTTAATTTTTCTTTTCTTTTTAGTAGAATGTAGGTTTTCCCTTCGCGGTATTATTTTTTTATTATGGGGACCAAACAAATTATCTGAAGGAGGTGGTTTTTTAATCTATTCATGCTTACTTGCGATCGCTTAAAGCACATAACTTTTTAAATGCCCCAACTTGCTACACGCAAACTATATTTTCCACAACCTTAATTAGATTGAGTATCAAATTTGTTATAACCTTCTCCTTTTCTTTTGAAAGCTTTGACTCGTCTGCTATCTCTTTTTCTGGCTCTCTAGAATTGCATCCATCAAGACCAGTTAAAATGCCACCCACTTTATCAGATGCCAGTTTCACATCAATAAATAGGCTATTGTCAGCAATAGCAGTATCTAAAAATGACAATAAAAAAGGAAAGTAGAGTACAGAATAATTTTAATTAGAAGAGAACTCTACACTTCCAATCACTTTTTAAATGGAATCATTTTAGTTAATGGAACTACATGAACCTCCCACATTTTCCCATTTAAACACCCTAATTTGTAAACCTATCTAAACAAGGTTTCTGTAATATATAAATACGAGTTAGTATCTTATACATAGAGAGCCACACAATTTTAAATGTTTTATTTAAACAACAACCAAGATAGTGACCCATATTAAGACTTTTTGGACACCCTGTATATTGTACTACAATGCAATACCATAGTAATATCAATATATAAATTTCCATGCATTATAATAGGCTTCAACCATGTCTGACATAAACACTTTGCAGCTTATTTTCAAACCAATTCTTTTCCTTATGTAATACTAGAAAATTTCTAAAACTGTTTCATCTGACTTGTTAGAAATAAGAAAAGCGCATGGGAATCCCTCTCTAACGTCATTTAGAACGAGCAAAGTATGCAACTCAAAAGCGTATTGATTCAGTCCATTGTTACCGTCAGCAGGTACCGTACGGTTATAACATTAAAGTAAGCTTGCCTTAAATAAATAATACAAATATACTAAGTCCTGTCCATACGGTTCAGCATCTAAAAACAAAATATAGATTATTAACAAACGAATTATTAATAAAATAAAGTGAATTAGTATGTAATTAAATTCGGTAAAAAAGTAAACATTAAACATAACCTTTATAGAATGTCAAAAGGTGCTACAATGACATTAGTTATTGTAACCAAATACTTTTTCTTTTATTTATTTGCACTAGTGTTGACAATCTTAATATTTGTAAAAGTCCTTAAATACAGGAAGTTTCCTGAATACTTGAACTTCGAACCTTTCTTTTCTCCATCCATCAGTCTACTTAACAATCCCTTGATATCCCTATGGTCATACTTCAAATATACTATAGGAAAATTACTATCCTTAGAAAAGTCATTATCCAAGGTGACAGATATCTCTAGAGCTCTACCTCCTAGTTCCACAAAATGCTTTAAAAATCTCAACGAGATAGTAAAACTATCACGCATGTGAGCCTCATCTAATATTCTGAACCCTATACCAGCAACAGCCCTATCATCAGACATAAGCATAGCTAACGCCGTATGGTGTCTCGCCACTTGCACACTGGTGCTCTAGAACTCTAGAACTCCTGAGCCGCTCACCTTGCACATTAATAAACGTTGAAAATCCTTTATTCCGTAACGAAGTTGATATTTCTCTGCATAATGCACGAGTAGGGCCTGCCACTAATACTTTCTTATTTATTTGCATAGCTAAATACTTAATGTTCTCATTTGGCATAGTCCTAGTAGTTTTACCCTTGCCTGGTCCAATGACTGACCGCTCAACCACTCCTTTTGGTTGTGGTACTGTAAATTTAGCCCCAATCAAACTAGCAAATTCTGTTATGCCATCTGAATCTTTATAGTATCTTCCTGCTAGTCCGTAGAGTTCTAATTCTCCACTTTCGCTGAATCCATACACTGGTGATCCACTTTCCCCAGGTTTAATAACCCCAACCCAAGCAAAAATGGCTCAGCCATCGTCTCTTGCCACTACCACTCTATGAGTGACACTTGCATTAAGAGTTTCCGTATTCACAAAAACAGCACTACCATCATTGGGTTTGGAGAAAGCTGGAGGTCCACCATAAGTCACTAGATCATCCTCTACCGATATATGTTAAGGAGACACTACTGTGTGTCTAATATGCACAACCTGTCCATGACAGACATGATAAGGAACATGTAAAACACCAGAATGTCCCACTCCTATTCCTTGCGAAATTGGAAGACCAACCATGTATGACTGTATGAAATATAAACCATCATCCACTGTGAAGCGATTCCGTCTTAACGTCTTATAACTGGACCTACACCCTGTTTCTCCAAAAATTTTGTAAATAACAAACCTAACATCAACATCGAGACAAATGGTTGTCTAAAAACTAGTACTATAATAATCAATGACATAGTAACTATTGCAATTCTCTATTTTTGCTGAGCACTCTTAACTCTATCCATAAAATTTTTCCCGTGAAGGTGAGGCATATTAGCCAACTCATTCACGCTTAATCCTTTCTCCATGGGTCTCAAGTACATAGCTCTGACATCAAACTGCAAAAACTTACCGTCAGCCACAAATTCAAAAAATGATTCCATTCTAGATCTCAAACCTTTCAAAATATCTTCAAATACACCTCCCTCATTAGCTCCAAACATCGGATGGGATATAGGTGTCAATGAACTCCATTGGCTCCAAAACCATTCAGACAATCTGTCCACATGTCTAGCAACACTCGGCAATAGTATCTCCTGGTCAGCCATAGCAAACTACTATAAGTGGCTAACCATAGTAGCTGAAAAAGGGCCAAGAAGACACAACAGAAAGCACATGTCCTCTTATATTTCTTGTTTTCAATGACAATAACTTTAGATGTTAACACCAATGAATGCAAAGGATGAAGAATCCATAATCCCATAGCATCTATAACGCAGTTCATGAATATAGTCAATATAATCAATTTAAAAAAATTAATATTTATCTTTAACTGGTTCAGAATATTATCTAAACCAATCCTGTAACGCCATCATCAAAACAAATCTGTAGTATTTATTACCTTATTCAAATAAGTATGATGAACTATTTAAACATCTACCAGGTTTAAATTTCGTTCATTAGAGATTGGACTCCCTAGACTTTAAACTCAATTTGCTTCTTATATAGATCGAGTCTTTGTTCAAAATTAAGTTCTTGTAATCGTAAGCGGTTTTATGAATAACTGGTATAAAAAAGGAAGTACACTAGTACATACAGACAAATAAAAGAAGTATTTGGTGACAATAATTAATGTCATTGGAGCACCTTTTGACATTCTATAAAGGTTATGTTTAATGTTCACTTTTTAACTGAATTTAATTAAGTATTAATTTGCTTTATTTTATTATTAATTCGTTTGTTAATAATCTATATTTTGTTTTTAGATGCTGAACCGTATGGACAGGACAGTTTAAAGTACAATTGATTTTTTGAGGTATATAATACTTTTTTTAGAGACAATACAGGAATCATTACTAAGTATATTTGTATTATTTATTTAAGGTAAGCTTACTTTAATGTTAAAACCGTACGGTACCTGCTGATCGTAACACCATTCACACATAGACAGTCCGAAGAGTATTTCTTTATTACTTCTTCTTGATCTGGGTTCATGATTATTAATACAAAGTCGCCTTTTTTTAATTCCTTATGATCTATTGACTCCGCCCTTTGACATTTATAAAATAAAACATAGCTATTACTCTCCATTTCTGTTATCCAAGCTTCTACACTGATTGCATCGTTCTGGTGCCGTATGACAGTGGATTCTCAATTAAAGCTTTTCTTAATATTATGTAGATCTCTTCTAATGAGCAGGTTCCCTCTAACCGAGAACCTGAAGAATGGGTTAGTGTGGTTAATATATTTTATTTATGCATTCTCGCCTATATATGTCGAACAAAAGATATAAATAGATAAATAAAATAGTTAAAGAAACTTATTATCAAAATAATTATAATATGAATTAAAATAATAGTTATTCTTCGCTGTTGTCCTCCATGATTATTACACCCTGTAGTATGCAGTGATTCATACTAACCAGCACAAATATACAAAGAAATGAACAAAAAACCTGACTCAGCCGCATTCTTGTATTATTTCAACCGTCCTACTAAGCTCATTTGCATTTATTTGTGCTAACCGGCTAACATCGTAATTTAAATAATATTCGTGGGTAAAAATCGTAAAAATAATTTAGAAAAATATGCCAAAAAGAAATAGAAGGAGAATTATTTCGACTTCTGAGTCGGAAAGTGATGACAGTGTTGTGAGAGTGGATACTCAAAATCGGCAGCAAAAACGAAGGAGGAGAGAATCAAAATATGACGAATTGTTATCAAAATTACGGGACATCGAAGCAGAGATTCGCAGTAATGTTTCCAATGAGGATAACAGAGAGTCAGATAAAGGTACAAATTTTGTTCTTTAAATCTTAATTATTTTTAGGCACAATCATTGACGAATATCTTGTTTTAACATAAAAAATTAAGCTTGGACGCAATAATTGACGAATGTCTTATTGTGTTTTTCAAGAGAAAATATTCGTATTTTTTACTTGTGCGCATTAATTGACGAATGTCTTATTGCGTTTTCAAGGTCTAATTATTCATATGAGTAATCGACTATTGTCTTACTTAGCGAATAAACATATAGACAAAATATACAATAAAAACATTTTCCATCTGTTTCTTACAGATGTCCAGGAACTTGATATTGATAATAACAATCAGACTGAACGGAGTACGGATCAGATCCTTTTGAAAGTATTGGGCGCAAATCCCAAATACGACAAAAAACTAGGAGAAGATCTTCATGAAGAGGTATCTGTAAGATGGGATAATTATGCCACCAAGGGAGTAGATAAAAATATAATCGAGGATCTAGTCAAAAAATTTCCACCTCCAAATAATTGTCAGGCACTTCAAGCTCCAAAATTAAATAGCGAAATTGAGATTTGTTTAACCAGAGAAGCCAAGAAGCAGGATGTTTTTATTACACAACTACATACCGAGACTGCAAGCGTATTATCCGCCATAGGAATATTGATATCGGATATAATCAAAAATCGAGACACCATTGATCAACAAAAAATACTTTCTACACTTGTAGAAGGAGGACAGATATTATGCGAGAATATTCACCAATTATCAAACCATAGGCGGTTTTTAATAAAACCATTCCTCAAAGAAGAAAGAAGAAAGGTTGTGAATGAGTGCCCAATTGATGAATATTTATTTGGGAAAAAACTTCAAGAATCCATTCAATCGGACAAGACTGTAGCTAAAGCGGGAAGAGAATTAAAACGGTTTTCACCTTATAAGAATATGTGGACCCAGAAGAATTTTGTAGCGTCCGAACCTCAACCCGGTCTTTCGGGACTACAATTGCGTGAAAACAAAACAAAAAATACTGGTCATTTAAACTATCAGCTCCCACAAAGCAATTGGAGAAAAAGAACAACAATGAGAGAATACAACAAACATTCAAGGAAACATCAGTTTCAACGAAGAAACTTCTACAATCCTCAGAAATAACTGCTGGCTCTCTCACTAATAAGGTAAATGAATGGATTAAAATAACTAAGAACCATGTAATTTTAAACTGGGTTGAAGGTATTTCAATTCCATTTGATAAAACACCTGTTCAACACTCTAATCCTATAGTCAATATAAGTAGATCAGAAATACCTAAATATAAAGAGGCTATTAGTGAACTAATTAATATGGGGGCTATTTCAAGATGTAATAAAAGAGAGGGGGAATTTTTATCATCGTTCTTTTTAATTCAAAAACCAGATGGAAAACATAGATTTATTTTAAATTTAAAAAATTTAAACAAATTTGTGACAGCACCTCATTTTAAGCTGGAAGACCATAGAACAGTTTTAAAATTAATTACAGATTGTTGTTATTTTACTAGTTTAGATTTAAAGCATGCATATTTTGCATTATCAATTAGAAAGAGGGATAGAAAATATTTACGATTTTGTTTTGAGAATAATATATACGAATTTAATTGCTTACCATTTGGACTAAACTTGGGGCCATATATTTTTACTAAAATGACCAGGCCTATATTACGATATTTAAGAGAAAGAGATATTATTTGTTCGGCTTATTTAGACGATTTTTTGATAATAGCAAAAACTAAAGAAAAATGTACAGAAAACGTAGGAATCGTTTATAAATTATCTGAATTAGGTTTCACTCTAAATTTGGAAAAAAGTGAACTAATTCCAAAACAAGAAATAAAATATTTGGGTTTCACAATAAATAGTATAGAAATGACTATTGGGTTACCTCAAGTGAGGAAAGTAAGTGTAATAAAGAAATTGTTGGAAATTAAAAATAAAAAAGTATGTCATATTAGAGAATTCGCGAGATTAATAGTTACATTAGTTGCTACAAAACCTGCGGTAAAATATGGATGGTTACATTTAAAAAACCTAGAGCGTGAAAAATATATAGCTCTTTCTCTTAAACATAATGACTACAATGCAAAAATGTTAGTCCCAAATTACCTACAGACCGAATTTAATTGGTGGTTAAATATTATCCCAAACAGTAAACAACTCATCAAGAGTAGACCATTTAAAATGGAAATTTTTTCAGACGCTTCAAAAACTGGGTGGGGCGCAAACTGTGGGAATGCTAAGACACATGGGTTTTGGACTAAGGCCGAAACACTTTTACATATAAATTGTTTAGAATTAGTAGCAGCTTTTAAGGTTTTAAAAACTTTTGCTAGATTTATAATCAATGAAAATATTTTATTAAGAGTCGATAATATTACAGCTATTGCTAGCATAAATAAAATGGGAAGCGTTCAATATAAATATCTTAATAAAATTTCTCAGGAAATATGGGACTGGTGCGAATCAAGAAATATTTTTATACTAGCATCCTATATAAGTTCTTCAGAAAACATCATAGCAGATTCAGAGTCACGAATAAAAAATGTTTTTACCGAATACGAATTAAACAAAAATGTTTTTCGTGAAATAACATTGAATTTAGGAAGTCCTGAAATTGATCTATCAAAACAAAAAATGCGATAAATTTATATCATGGCATCCTGATCCAGAGTCCATGTGTGTAGACGCGTTCACAATAAATTGGAATAGATATTTTTTTTATGCGTTCCCACCTTTTTCATTAATAGAGAAAGTTTTGGAAAAGATTGTTAACGATAAAGCTACCGGCATTTTAGTTGTACCAGATTGGCCTAGTCAATCTTGGTACCCTCAATTTAAAAAATTATTAATAAAAAAGCCATTAAAATTCCCTTACTTTAAGGATCTTCTCTTATCACCTTTCAGATTAACAGAAGAAACGCTTCCGAGAACTACCCTGGTGGCAGGGAGGTTATTCGGCGGTCTTTCATAATGAGAGGAACACCAGATACCGTAATTCCTACATTATTGGCCTCTCTTTCTGAGGGTTCAATAAAACAATACAACCTTTGTTTAAAAAGATGGTGGACTTATTGTCAAAGCAACAATCACGATCCGTTTGAAAATAAACTAGACACAGTCCTCAAATATTTTTTAGATATACAAAAGTCAGGGGTGTCATTTTCTTCCATAAATACTCATAGAGCAGCATTGGCGTTAATATTTGACTCAAATAAAAAAGACGAAAGTATATTAAAAAGATTTTTTAAAGGAATTTTTAATATGAATCCACCACAACCAAAATATGCGACAACATGGGATCCAATTATTGTACTGAATTATTTAGAAAGAATGTTCCCTTTGGAAAAATTATCATTAGAATTAATTAGTTATAAGTTACCTTATTAGCAATCACTTCCGCCCATAGAATGCAGACACTTTCAAAAATTAGACTTAACAATATTAAGGTATTAGACAACGTTGTTGAAATTCGAATACCTGACAGAATTAAAACGACTGGAAATAAAAGATTACAACCCTTAATGGTGTTTCCAAAATTTCAAGATAAGCCTAGCTTATGTGTTTCTAGAAATTTGTCATATTATATTCAAAAGACTACTACATTAAGACCTCCAGGAGAAAATATATTATTTTTAACTTGGAAAAGACCTCATCATTCAGCGAGTTCACAAACAAGTAGATGGGTTAAAAATATATTGCAAAAAAGCGGAATAGATATTTCAAGTTTCTCAACACATAGTACCAGACATGCCAGTACTTCAAAAGCTCTACGAGCGGGGGTAAACATTGAGGTAATAAGAAACGCAAATCTAATGTATTTGTAAAATTTTATAATAGGCCAGTTACAGCCGGACCTGATGAATTTGCTAGATCAATTCTTGGTCAACCTAGCCAATAATAATACTTGTTACCTCTTATTAATATATAAACAATAAATAATAGTTTTTTGTTTGTTTGATATAATAGTTTTTTGAGAATAATAATTGTTACGTCTTATTATATATACTTAATGTATTAAAAATAAATAATAGTTCTTGTTTGTTTGATATAATAGTTTTTTAATGTTTGATAAAATATATTTCGTCAATTAGATCGTATTATTCTTTCAACATCTACAGGGTGTAATAATCATGGAGGACAACAGCGAAGAATAATTAATAGATTGATCGACTTACCTGTAAGGATGATCGATCTAAATTATTCCAGCTGTTGTCCGTAATGATTATTATATCCCCCCTTCCCTATCCCTCGATCTAATTGAACAAACAAATGCAATGAGCTTATTAGGACGGTTGAAATAATACAAGAATGCGGCTGAGTCAGGTTTTTTGTTCATTTCTTTGTATATTTGTGCTGGTTAGTATGAATCACTGCATACTACAGGGTGTAATAATCATTACGGACAACAGCTGGAATAATTTAGATCGATCATCCTTACAGGTAAGTCGATCAATCTATTAATTTTACCTTGCACAGAATTCCGTACTTGATTCAGAATCTCTGTAAAAGAAATTTTTAATGCCATTTGGTTGGCCAATTTTTTCCGATCCTCCGAGGTTAATGACAAGGGCCCCAAATCATGTTGATGGCCTACATACTGACTAATTAAACTCACTTCGTACTTATTGTTTTTCATTTCAACTTTTATGCAAGCTGGGCAAAAACCATTCATTTCATTGGATCCTTGGGTTTTTAAATGCCGTAAACCTTTTCCCTTAGAAATATAATTGCCCGAACAATGACAAACATATTTAATATTGCTTTTGTTATTATTATTACAAAAATGTCCTCTTTTATTGACAAATTGTACCCGTGTACTATTTTCTAATTTATTTTTCCAATCAACGTGTTCCTCAGATGAATTAAACTCACATATCTCTGTGAAAATGAACAAGCAATTCGGCTTTCGAAGCATTAAATTGGCAAAAGACACATTTGAGCTTTGCAGTTGTTTTTTTTTTTCAGATCCATATCTGCAGAATGTGTTTTTTATGA